AAACACTTTTAAGTTCCTGATTGTTAAAATCAATTTATTTAATTAAAGAAAATCGTTGGGAATCTTTAATTCTGAAAAATGTTCTGAGCTTGTAGAACATGTCTCTACAATATAACAAAATACTTATTAACATTGATGTATTTTCATGTTGTTTTGTCATAAATTCTAAATAACTGTCAATACATATAAATTTGAAAAAATCATATTAAGCAAAAAAAATAGTGTTGTTGCATTATAGACAAGTTCTTATTAATCAAAATCATTTTCAATTTTCTTTGTAGCTATTTGTTTCAAAGTTATAAACATCTTTAAAAATATTTTTAAATAAAATTTGATCAACATATTTATGTGATACAAAACCCTTACTAATTGATTTATGTTTGTGATTATATTTATATTTAACACCCCAATCGCCCAAGTATATAGTTACAGTCAACCCCCCTAAGTGCATCCCCCTTGGGAATGAGTAGGATCATGCATTTAGGGAATTAAAGCATTTTATTGGCTGCACATATTGGTGACTCATGTGACACTGATTAAAAAATTTTAAACTACAAAAAAAAATTCAAGACATGAATCTATCTAGTAATTTGTTCCATTGTATTTATTTTTTTTAAGTTAATATATTTTTCAAAAGAATTAACTGATTTTGCTTGTTCATTGTATGGTCAATTTCCAAACTTGTTAACTATGGTAGAAATGGGTTGATAATAATGTTAGCCAAAATGGTTTTTGAAAAAATCAATTTTGGCAAGCAATTTTGGATTTACAATATTCTTTGTATCAATAGACATACAAAATCCACCCAGCCTTTTAGTATTTAATTAAAGAGTCCAAATAATTTCAGATATAATTTTGGCAACTAATAAAATTAATTTCAGCATTTATGAAAAACTATTTCGCTATTATTAAGAGAGCCAACTTTAGCTAACATGGTTACAATTGACTCAACTGGGTGACTTTTTGATGCAATTCATTGAGTCATATAAAAAACATATAAGAGACACAATTAAAAATTGAGATTTTGGGAATTAAGAACCAAATTTGTAAAATTTTCTAGGTTACATGATTAACAATGCATAAAATCACATGAAAGTCATGGTGTGCATTTAGGGTGGGTGGTTTTATATAGCCGGGAGTGAAAAAAGACCATGCAGTGCAGGTATGGAGGGGTGCACTTATCTCTTAAGTCCCAAGCTTGGGAATGAGTGAAAGTGTGCATTTAGAGAGGGGTTGCATTTGGGGGGTTGGCTGTATTATAAAATACTAATAAAAATCCATTCTTGCATAATGGATGAATATCAGAAATATTTGCAAAGCCAAAGATTAGTTACTAAAAAATAATAATAATTAATAAGTCATTATTTTACATATGGGGACTGTTCTAGGAAAACACAGGTTAGAACTGATTTCTTTTTTTTTGAGAAAATTAGGAAAATGATCTGCATTTCAAATAATTACATGCAGTTTTGAAGGAAAATAACTCAAAGTTTTATTAAGCAACTATGGGTACGTTACTAAGCTAAAATGAATCTCTATGTATAATTACATATGGCTACAGTCTTAACCAAGTTTTGAGTCTAGAACAGCTCCCATATAAACCAAAGAAATAATTTGCAAATAACTTGTTAGCACTAATAAATTCATGAAAATTAGCAAGAAAATTTTCATTTTTAACAAGATCTATCACAAGTGTAATATACAAACTTTTTTCATAGCCTATTGGGGGTTTTAAAGTCTAATTAAATCAAAATTAAGTAATCTCATATAGTGTCAATCAATAAGTTATTTTTTTTTAATGATTGACAATGCAAAGAAAATAATATTCAAAATGCTACTAGTCAGTGAGAAAGAGAGATATCATTTCCAACTTTGAGCATGGAATAGCATAATATATCTATTTTATCAGTACAGAGAGATTTTTGAAGGTAACAAAAATCATTGATGAAAACATCACCATCAAAAATTGCCAATAGTGTAATGGATATAATAAAAACACATTTTTCAAAATGCTACTAGTCAGTGAGAAAGATAGATATCATTTCCAACTTTGAGTATGGAATAGTATAAATATATCTATTTTATTGGTACAGAGAGATTTTTGAAAGTAGCAAACATCATTGATGAAAACATCACCATCAAAAATTGCCAATAGTGTAATGGATATAATAAAAAACACCTTTTCAAAATGCTACTAGTCAGTGAAAAAGAAAGATATTATTTCCAACTTTGAGTATGGAATAGTATAATATATCTAGTTTATCAATACAGAGAGATTTTTGAAAGTAACAAACACCATCGATGAAAAAGCCACCATCAAAAATTGTTAATAATGTAATGGATATAATAAAAACACATTTCCAAAATGCTACTAGTCAGTAAAAAAGAGATATATTATTTCCAACTTTGAGTATGGAATAGTATAATATATCTAGTTTATCAGTACAGAGAGATTTTTGAAGGTAACAAATACTGGTGATGAAAAAATCACAATCAACATTTGTTATATTGTGATGGGTCTAGAGCTCCGAAATGAGCTGGGTTGACCCAAACAGGCCAGGTCAGGTCATGATTTAATTGACCCGGGTTTGACCCAGGTCAACATCATGTTATAATTGCCTTTAGAAGCTCAAAATTATTTTTGAAACTAGTATAGATACTAATAATGAATAAAAATAAATGGCAAAATAACAATTTTGATATAAAAAAAAACAGTAATTGATGCAAGTGTTTATGTAAAATAGAAATAATAATAAATTACATTATTTATGGTTATTATGGAAAATTATTTGATGATCAGTGAAAACCTTATTTTTTTATTTTTTAATTATTATTGCCATTTTGTTGTCATTATCATTATCATTATTATTTCATTATTATTATTACTATTTTGTTATTATTATCTCATTCATTAATATATTATTTTCAATTTAAAAAAAAAAACCACAGCATAAGCATAAATTAATTAAATTAATTAATAATGTCAAAAAGAAGAATTGAGATTGACAATTACAATAATTACAATGACAATGATAAAGTAATTATTTTAGACAGAGAAAGCACCTTTTTAGAATATGAAGAGAGTGTTTATGTTGAACCTGAAGGGAATATTGACAATTATAACAATTATGATGATTGTGATAATGACAATTATGGTGGTTGTAATTATGATAATGATGATATTGATAATGAGGTGGTGGTGATGGTGATGGTGGCAGGATTAATTCTATCAAGTCCATTGGTATTTCTAAGAATAAAAGTTCAATATGGATACATTTTGATAAACAAATGGATAAAATGGACTAAATGTAAATATTGCTTGTAAGTATATTAAAATAAATTGCATTACTTATTTTTTTTAAAAAAAAATTACTAATTGTGTTAATTATATTAAATAAATACATGGGAAATATAATATGAATAATGACTACTTCAAATTTAAGTCATCATCTTAAGAATCATAAAAATAAAATTGATGTTAATGTAAATAAACAAGCAATGATGTTGGACAGATTTCTTAAAGTGGCAGTAATAGTGAACATATTGTGTGTGTTGTATATATTTAAATCAACTAATATATCTACATTTGTAATTTTCTTAATCTGTGACCCGTTGACCCGACGGGTCGGGTCGGGTTGAACCACCGACCCGACCCGACTCGTTCGGAGCTCTATATGGGTCTTTTGGAAAATTTATTTTTATTATTGTTTCCTTAGAAATTCGCCATGCAATAACATTTCAAAATGTATATTAGTATTACAGCAGAGTATCTTCTGAATATATATAACTCTGGTTTTTTTGTTTTTATTTCTTTTATTTATTTTTTTTTTTAAATGGTAAATTTTCCCTTTCAGTATTCCGTGTAACATCCATAAAAAAACCGTTCATATTAATTTATCATAATGATATTAATTAGATTTGTTGATCTACTTGTATGACACCCCCAAATAGACTATTGTGGTGGTTCGGTTGTCGATGATGCGAATGCAACATAATTTTTTATAATAATCAAAGTCGTTATAAAACGTGGTTCAAACTTTAGACAAAGAGGATTACTGGAATTTAAATATTCTGATTAATTTTATTTATACAATTTTTAGGAACAAATTTCGTTATATTAATAAATTGGGAGGGACTCTGCATTTTCATGTATCATTATATATGGAAAGTTGGTGAAATAGTAGTGTAACAGAAATTTCTAATCTTGTAAGAATTAATTTAAATCAAAACTTCAAAGTTTACAAGAGCAATGAAAAGTTCTTTATTAAAACAATGGAGCTTTATTTGGACAATGTGAGGAAAGCAAATGCAAGAGTTCTTTTAAAAGAAATGTTGATGATAGTAGCTCCTCAGAAAATATGACTGGCAAAAATGTAGAGCAGAGAGTGTAATTAATGATAGAATTGAGAGACCCTAGTTATTATAACTGATTTACGAAGAATTAATGAAGGGCAGACCTGAATTTTGGGATTATGCAAAGAAATTCTTGAAAAAATAAAGCTGAACAAAACATTCTTGCTGTAAATGAACAAAGGGCGTGATAACTTTCAACATCTAGCTCATACTGTTTCAGTGCATGACTTTAAGGATCAAATATTACTGGTTTGTCCTTTCAATATACCAATTCCATCAATTCGATTGATTAGACTGCGGTTTTGGTTTAAAAATCCCGTCTATAAAAAAAGCCTACAATATATCTGTCGATTACCAATTAAATGTATGGTTCAATCCAGGCAACTAAGAGCCCTTCATTTATTTGATTAGTTTGAATGGATTGAATGAGTAAAATTTATTATTTTAAATGCTAATATAATATATATACTAATATAATATAATAAAAAACACTAATAAATATTTGATTAATTAAAATAAGCAAAAAAAATTTATATCTTTTTTGAATATACTACAAATTTTTTTTATAAAGTTGTTTGGTCATATACACAATATAAAAAGAATTGATATATATAAATAAACCACAATATACCTTTTTCTTCATATTATTATAATACCTTTTGATCTCCAGCGTCCTCCTCCATATCTTTAATTATGGCAGCACTATCATTATTATCCTCATCAATGCTAATAGCATTATTATTATTATCATTATTACTAATATTACTATTAATAATAACATTTTCATCTTCATTTTCATTAGTAATAGTATTAGTAACAGCGACAATATTATTTCCATTAATATTAACATCATCTTCACCACTAATAACCATTTCAACATTGTTATCTTCACCAATACTGATATTATTATTATTTTCACCAACAAAATTTTCTTTAATACCAAGATTTTCTTCGACAATAATATTTTCACCTATAATTTCTTCATTGTCACCATTGTTTTTGTTGTTTTCGTTTTCATTGATAGCTTCGATACTATCATTAATTTCAACATCATCTTTTGTTTGTTCTTGTATTACTTGTACTTGCTGTTCATGTTCTTGTATTTGCTCATACACATGCACATGTTCTTGTTGTTGATCATCCCCAGTATTTTCAATATCACCGCCAACAACAGCAACAATATTCCCATCCTTATCACTAGGTTGTACTACTAATACTTGTAATGAAATTAATTGAGTAGAAAGTTGGTTTATCTTGTTGAAATACTCGTCAATATTCTCGATATGTTCACCAATTATTGTTTTGGCTTGTTCCAAATTGAGGATATCTTTTAGACTTTCTAAATAAATTTTTGCAAGTGAATCATCTGCTGACAAGTCATTATCTGATAAAATAATTATTAAAATCCGCAATATCTTTGTATATGTAAGAAAAAACCTATTGGTTAGTAATTAACTATTCTGCTATTCATTCATTCATTCATTTCATTCAATTTAATTTGTTAATTTTAATATATATATATATATTTTTAATCAATCAATTAATAAATTCTTACCATTAAAAGTTCTTCAATAGTTGCATGTACCAAAACCAAATCTTTAACTTCCAATTTTTCTTTCAATACCTTAACATTAGCCACAAACTGTTGAATATATTTTAACATAATCGGTTGAATTACGTCTGACTTATTGATTTTTACCTAGCATAACCCATTACAATAATAACCAATTAATTAAACAAGAAATGTGTTTATATATATATAAATTTATTCTAGCAATATAAAAATCAAGCCAATTTCTTACAATATTTATTAGTGACTTGAATGTATTCAATCGTTCAGCTGGTAGCATGGTAAGTAATAACCGTGGATTTGAGTTTAATAAGTGTTCCAGGAGCATAGAGAACGCCAACTGATTATAAGCGCTGACAACATTTTTATTCTCCGAAAGCTTTTCAAATAAATCTAAAAGTATGTTAAAAATATTTGATACATCCATCTCCAACATTTCAAGCACTATCAATGAACCTATATATGTATTATAGGTAAAAGATAGAAAATAGTATTGTTATATTTTCTCAATCGACATCATAAACATATGAATATTAATTAATAGACTTACATAATCGAACGACTTTATCAAATTCTTCTATTTCTATCCCTGAAAAGGCTAATTGTTCTATCAATTTAAAATAAGGTTTATACAATTCATTTTGTAAATGGATTATGTCATTTTTTTGTTGCAATCTGAGAAGGAAAGGTCTGAAAAAGTGTATTGAAGGTGTTTCTATATTGCTACTGTTAATGCCCAAACTTTCAGTTTCTTCTTCAAATAATTTTAGACGTTGAAAAATTGATTGATTACCACCAAAATTTAAAAGTAAATCTATATAATAGATAATATATTATTGCTATTATTAATAAATACTGTTCTTGTTATCGTTAAATAAATTATTCTAAAAAATCATCATTACCTTCTTTCGTAAGACTAGATAATCTATTTTGCCATTTGGAATGTTCTTCGATCAATAATTTTAAGCAATCTCTAACAAGTTCAGAATTACATTTCATTTTTAAGAATAGGCATAGAATGTCTAAAAGAAATTTTTTTTTTGAAATCAAGTAAGCATTATAATAAAGAAACAAAAAATATTTTTAAAAAAATATTTTTTATAAAATAACCTAATGTTCTAAGGTAAATTTTATTGTCCATATTTGGATGCAAAGATGTTAAAAGTGAAGCTGCAAATTCTAAGCGTGTTTTCCATGCTTTCACATATTCTTTACCCTCTTCCAATGAACATGCAAGATGCAAATAAGCATGTAGCATCTCCATACATTTAAGAACATTCTCTTCATTTAGATATCTGTCTTTTATAATAAACTGTGATAATGTTTCAAATCCATGGTATTTACAAAATGCATGTAAATCATCAACAGTATTTCGATTAATTAACTGATGAAGCCTATTATTATTTATTAAATTTAATTAAAATTAATCGGATAAAAATAAAATAACTTTTATTAGTGAAAATACCTTTGTATGCGTATTATGGGCATATTAGCTAAAGAAGATGCATTTTGGTCCCAATTTCGAGATCTGAAAAGTGCCGATTCATCAGCACTCATTTTCAAAAGTTCCAACAACTCGTCAGTTTTCTATATAATATAAACCAATGTTAGATTTTAACAATAAATAGAAAAACATTGTATTGTTAAATTTAAATTTATTATTATAATAGTCAATTGAAACCAACATGATCATCGTAAAAATCTCCAAATATCATGCTATTAAGAGCCCAAAAGAAATTGGTCGCTTCCATCCACGCTTGATGACATTCTGGTGAATGGCGACAACATAATAATATCAATCCATAATATTTAGGAAGAGATGCTTGATTATAAATTATGTTCTCATTTGAATGATTTATACTTATAATTATAGAATTAATTATTATTATTATAATGTTTTATTAACACATTATCATCAACTCAAAAAAAAAATTTTTTTAATACCTAACATAATACATGAAAAGGTGAGACAATAACTCTTGGTTTTTAACAATTGCCTCTATATTTGGTGGATAATCTTCACATACAGTATACCAAAAGTTAATTATTTCCTATAAAATTTTACAGGAATTGATTAATATTATAATCATTTAAGAAATCAAATATGTATATATATTATAGTTTATAATATATACTCTTTTGTCGATATCGCAATCAGCTCTTAAATTATCCACAGCTATAAAAATGGAACTAAATTTATCATAATATGGATGGAACTATATTTTTTTTTTTTAAAAAAAAAAGGTTTAAAGAATAAATTATTTTAATAGTAAATAAAGTCACAAAAGAAAATGATTTTTTCATAAATTTACCATTTGTTTTTCTTTGTTCGATCGAACACATTTTGTCAATATTCTGAAATAATTACTCAATCTCCAACCAAATGGATCTGCCACTAAAAGCACGTTTATTATCAAAACTTAGTAATCAATAAATTTACATATTATTTACATATAAATAATAATAGGTACCTCCTCTTCTACTGCTAGTAGTTTTCCAACAAGTCTCTAAATGCTCCATATGTTTCAACAACATAAGATATTGTTTATGCATTATTTCAATTGCTTCCATTTGTGCTTGACTCCCTTGTGCTTCATCTATATTACGAAATATTAAAAGATTAAATAATTCTTCGGCTCTTTGACGGACTAATTCATACGGACTATACAAAAAGTACTCGGGCAACCAATCTGAAAGATATGTAACAAGAAAAGTTTGAACATATGCTCCAACACTAGATGTGCACAAAGCTTCAATTAATCCAAGACATTCTGAACTAATTTGCGGTGCACTTTGATTAGCCTTTGCAAGTTTCAAGATTTCAGGGATTGTGTAATCAATCCTCGATTTTAACAAATTATCCTGGATTTGCGTTAGTGAATAAATAATTTCCAGGTGTGGTCTAACGTGATCAACTGTATAAATATCAGCAGCGCGAATCAATTGACTTAAAAATTCTTCCGATAAGTGTTCATTATTAGTAGCAAAATGTGCGAACAATTCTCCAGTAGACGGAGGATCAATACAATCTCTTATTTGTTTCATAAAAAATATGAATTGATCATCCGATTCATTACGTTCAAATATCATTGAAATTTCTTGTTCTGTCAACCTCATGGCGGTGCTCTGCGTCTCAACTAGTAACGAACGTCCACTTTTTCCAATATCAGAAACATCACATCCTGATATTAGTGTACGCAATGTCATTAATAGATAACGGAAAGGTGGCAAAGAAAATTTATCGCCCATTTTTCTTTTACGAGATTTCAATGGTGCAATCTCGTCCATAAGGAATAATTTAACCAATTCTCCTATGAATCCGCGTTTTATCATATAATTACGCTCAGGTACTCCAAAATATGATATGAGATACATCAAAGAGAAATATTGTTCAAAATTCCTCCACCATAAATGTGCAGCGGGAATTAGATTGAACATCGCTTCACATAATTTTACTATTAATCCATTATCATGGCACATTTGTATTGAAGTTGACGATGATGGATCGATATTCATGGAAATTCCATCAACCAAATTTGTTGTTGCTGTCATATCAATAACCCCTCCCTCGCTTTCCAGTCCATATACGATTGGATCACCTTGTCTAAGAGTTCTCAAGACAAAAACTATCAACTCAACAATTTGCTCTTTAACCTCTTGAACATAACATGACATCAATATCTGTTGTAAGTAGTTTGGACTGGGATCAATAAGTCTATTGATAAACCATTGACATCCTGGCAAATGAGTTTGAAATAATGTTTTAAGAAAATCTGTCCAATCTTTAAGTTCCATATTATCTTTCGCACGTGATAATGTCCCCAAAACAAATTCAGAAGCCAACTGGATTGTACGCATCGTCAAATCAATCTCTTTGCCATCAACTAAAATCTTTTGCTCGTTATCAAAATCTACCGAGTGAAGAACAGTCCACATAAGATTAAAGTAGCCCGGGTCAAAAATATTTTTATCTTGAAGAAAACCGATATTTTCATCCCATATTGCACTATATATGTCATCAGGAACTTTAACAATTTGATTTTCTTGTTTATTTATCTCATCATAACTAGTAATATTCTGAACATCTTCACACCTTTCGTAAAATAGCATGTATGCATTATATTGTTTAGCAAACACACGTGTAACATTTTTTTGTTGCGCTGGATCCCATTGTGAAACATATTCGGGTCCACCAAAACATTGTTTAGGGATGTCTTTTGGATCAAAAATTTCAACTGTCGAGTCATTGAACTGGTACCAGCGTCTCTCTTCATCACTTTCGTGTGACGATGATGATGATGGTGCAGATTTGCGTTCTTTAATGAAAGAGTAATAATGACCAGAATCAGCAGTTCCTGTATGAACCAAAACACCAACTAACTCATATTCAAATTGTGATTTGTTCTGTTTATCTGATTTGATATCCTCTTGTACTCCCACCCCTGCTCCCCCTCCTAATTCTTTTCTAATCAGGTAATCCAAAGTATATGGTTCCATGTTTATTCGATTCGGGAACTCAAAGTATTCATTGATCTTGACACGTTTCAACAGTTCCATATCAAAATCAAATCTTTTCAAATGCATTATCAAATTTTTTGGTAATTTCTTAATACATGATCTTTTAATTGCATCTACAGATTTCCCGCATTTAGCACAAAAATATTGATTATCACCATCCAACAATTCTCCCTCAACATCATGTTCTAAACTTTCCTCTACATTTTTTTTATTTTTAACTTCACATTGTATCGCGAAAAATGATTCTTCTTTCTCGGAAATATGACCACAACTTTTTGATTTTATTTGTTGAACAATCGTACCACCAAAATGTTCTTTAAGAAGCATCGAATAAGGTGTTCCAGAAACACTATTCTCTAAACGATCAAAAAGTCCATTGAAATATTCATCCACGTCCATCTGAAGTGCGACATTCAAAGGCTGGCCATCATAATCTTTGTAGGCATGGCAAAATTGTGTTGCCTCAAATGCTTTTTTTTCACTTTCTTGTAAATATCCAAAAACAATTTGAAGTTGATAAAGAAGTGAATCGTCTTTGTTTTCATCATTAACAGGAGCAGCTAATAAACTTTTTCGGAAATCGGAATTCATAAAAAATTGCTGAACTATAGAGTTCACATAACAAGTTGCACCAAGATTTTGTAATCCAACATATCCAGCTACAGATTTCTGACATGATTTAGGGCAATAGTTCCAATTATCATTTAATTGCTCACCACGATCCAATTGTTTCAAATATAAATCTGTAAGACGAACAAAATTTTCTGGACATTCATGAACTAGTACATTTAATAGTTTTAATGCAGCATTTCTTGAAACTTCAAGTTTACACTTTGGTGGAAGAAGTGAATTGGAGTGGTTAATATTTGGAACTTCAAAAAGACAATCATAAAAAATCATCTCAAGCAAGCTGTTTCCATCATAAAATGTAAAACATGATACAAGGAAAAAAATAAATATTAATATGAATAGGTGAAATGAATAATTAAATAAGTGAATGAATGAAATAATAAATAAAATCACAATAATAAAATAAAATACCCATCGCCAAGAATATTTTTAAATTCCTTATGCTCAGACACCAAGATGGTCATCAATTTTAATAAGCCAATGATAACCGTATCTTCACATGATGAATTAAATTGCTCCTGAATTGGATGCAGTTTTATTTGATTTTTGATGCCATTATATAAAGATGACAAAGAAATCAGACTAGATTTTGTAATGAATGGCATAAGTTCACCCATTAAATCAAAATATTCTTTGCTTGTATAAACATGATTCTCTACATCGGGCAAGAACGACCATAATATCAATGAAAATTGATCAAGAACAGGTGAAATTGAAACCTGATGATTCTGATTCATTGATTCGTCAGTTGACATTCCATTATTGTTAACTATATTATTATTAATATCTTTACAGAAACAAAGAATCATATTCGCCATTAGACTCCTAGCTTCTTCAGATTGACAACCAATTAATGCAGAAATTAACCATTCACGTAAATTTGGATGGCCAACAAAGATTGATATTGCAGATTCGTCACGTAAACATAGACATGATAATAATTTCATTGAATGTCGTATTATTGTTAAATCATCTTCAACTAAAAAAATTTTTTGGGTAAGAAAGAAATAGTTTTATTTTAAAAATAAAGATTTAGACATAAAAAATGTAAAATTTATTGTAATATGGATTTTACCCTGATTTTGAGAAGGATCTACACATTTACCAATTATTTCAATCAATTTTGAAATTAAACTCTTGGAATCAGAACTTTTAAAAATATCGGCGCTTTCTATCGTATTATCTGTTAATTAAAAAAAAAGTCCATTAACCATATTTATAAAAACATCGAGCAACAAATCATATTGTTTTAATAATTATAATAATTACCAATAGCAAAAAAACTAATTATTTTCAATAAAAGCCCAAGGCAGGCTTTCTTTGTTAAAATTTTATGATGATCTTTGATCTCTACCTCATCATCGTCAGAAACAGAAGTACTGCTACTACTACGTTCAGTTGTATCCAACGTTATGAACAATTTAATTAAATAGTCCAATCCTTGATTTTGAGTAAATCGCATACACCAATCACTTCCACTCTGACTTCTTTCATCATCGCCTCCTCTTAACAACCAATCAACAATCTGTAACGCATAAAGTAATCTAAATGGCGATCGTAGAACAAGGAGATCGTCCCAATTCACTGGTGTTTCGAGAGTTTTTAGTGCATTCAAGAACGTATTATTTGTCGGAAGTCGCATAAGTAGATCCCATATCTTTATTATTAATAATGTATTTAATTTGATTATTAATAATACAAAAATAACAAATAATTAATATGGATTGATTAATAATAGAAAATGTTAATTACTTGTGATGAATATGTTTCTTCTAATTCTAACATTTGGAAAAATTGATCGATATATTTTGATAAAACATTAATCGGTAAATCTGATTCAACCAACTATATTAAATATTTTATTTATTAATAAATTTGTTACCAAAGGTAAATTTAACCAAGTTTAATAAGTTTAATTAAAAAAAATTTTGAAATTACTTCTTCAAGATTTTCTTCAACTCTATCATTCTCTTGTCCAAACTTTCCTTCATTATTGCGCTTCATGGCCATAAAAGATTGACGATCTACAATTTTTAATTTTTTCAAAGTCAATCCATTCGATTCAGGGCAAACTTCTTTTCCTGCTGTGATTAATCTAATTTGTGATGATTTTGCTTCACCTATTCTAGAGGCAATTTTTTGTCGTAAAGCAAGAACTGTCTCAGATGGATGGACTTGAATTTCCAAACATCGATTTGTAATAGTAACTTTTACTGTAATCATCTCTCCATCGTTTAACATTCCATGTCTTCTTACATCAGTTTTATCTAATTGATAATTTGAATATTTAGTATCAAATATATCCATAAAAGATTTAAGTACTTCTAGACATCGTTTGAATTTTAAGGCATTAGTAGATTTATTATTCATTGTTGATGATTGAAGTGGAGACAATGATGGCGATAATGGTGTAGAAGAGCTAGATTCATCAATTAGTGTCATTGAAACATCATCATCCGATGTGGTGGGGAAAATAGTAACTTTGGATAAGCCATTGGCAGCAGCGAAAAGATGTTTAACGCATTTGTCAACTAATGCTTCACGATGTTGCCTGGCCAAATTAGCATAATTTTCCAATTTTTTATCCGTCTGCAAATTTTTTTTAATAATATATTGAATAAAACGATAAACGGTCCTAAAATTAAAAATAATATTTATTTTATTAATTTAAAAAAATCAAACTTACATTAAGATATAAATAAACCAAAAAGATTATGGCTTCATTTCCAACAGCTTCTTCTTCTGCACGAAGTGCAATATCCCAAATAAGATCAATTCCTGTAAGATCACCTTGTATTAGAATGCCAAGTTGAACTTGAGATGGTGGATTTGGTGAAGACTATTGTTATTGTTATTTTTATCATTATTGTTTTGATGATTATGATAATAATATTATTTAATAATAATTATCTTAATAGTAATAAAAATGATACATACAGAACGTAACCTTCCGTTTTTAGCATTAACTTTTAACAAACAGTTTTTAGCATATTTAAATGCTTGATCAGACATGAACCGAACATCCAATTCAGCGAAACGATTGTTAAAAAAATGCTCAGTGAAATAATCATATTCTAGTATATTGTCCAGGGAAGCAAATGCCTCGTCTTGTTCCTTTTTTCCTATTGCATTAGCTATCAAACAATTCCAAATTATGTCGGTTTGAGCCGTTGATGTAAAAAAGGGAACCTCAAAATTTGCTATCCATTGAATAAATTGTAGACGCGAAATTAGTTGATCACGTAATATGGACATTTTTGATGAAGGTAAATCTATCAATAACATATTATATGATGAGAAGGATGATGTTTTTTAGAAAAAAATGAACTTTCATCTAATTCAATTTTTTTTTTGTTAATCAAAAAAATCAAAAAAAAAAACCATTGATATAAATACCTAGATTTAAAACATTTGGTTTATCATTAAGTTTTCCTGCACATGCTCTCACAGTCTTTGACCAATGTTCCAAATCGTCCAAAAATAATTGCGGTAATCCCATACTTGATATTAAATGTTTAAGGTAATCATTTGTGGTCAACTCTTGGTTGGGAAATGGGGGTGCTAAAATCATCATCATCATCATAATCATTGTAGTCGTAGCAATTAACAAACAGCAAGTAGTTAACATTATTATTATATAGCGTCATGATCACATAATCACATCAATAAATTTCTATTTAATACTAACAAATAATTCTTGTTAAAAGCCTTAAAGCCCACATAGTTCCAGGATCATGTTTTCTTAAACATTCAATACACATTTCCAATAAAGTATTACGATCTTCTTGACTTGTATCGCCCTGTAATAAATTAGTTAGAACTTGACAAGCATTTTGAGCAATGTCCTGATCTATTATTGTTGAAGATAATGATGTTGTTGATGACGATACAGGAGAAAGAGTGTTTGCTGAAGCAGTAGTGGTGGGAGATGAAACTTCCGAGTTCATCAAAGCAGGGATTGAGATTGATGATTCACATAATAAACGCCATAATAATTGATGAGCTTTAAATGATACATGAGGAACAGTCTAAATATACATGTGAAAACGAAAATAAACAAATGTAAATATTAAAATTTTTATAATAGATTTTTTTTGTAAAATTATTACCGCAGTGCTTACTCTAGTACTTGACATAGTGGATTGAACCAAAGTTCTTATTAATAAATAAGTTTGAGTCTCTATGAAACTGGTAGGCATTTTCATCAATTTCTGAATTAGATAGTCTCGTTGTTCTTGATTTAAATGGTCGGAAATATCAATCAGTACTTGACAAACACCATGAACAATGCTTCGGTGTTGATTTCCATCAAAAGGTGCCCAAATAATATCTAATTCGTGTGATGTTAATGATTTAGTGTGTATCAAAAATGTTAAAATATCTGTAGAACGTTGAACTATTTCCAAATGAATATTAGAACCAAATATATATTCAAGAATTTGATGTTCGCGTAATTTCTCATTAAGGAAACTATAAAATATAATAATAATAATGACGATGACAATGATTTTATTGTAAACATTGATTTAATATAATCAATATACTTCTTAAATAAGAATATTAAGAAATAATAAATACCGATGAATTTTTTCAGAAGGATTTTCCTCCTCTAATGGAATATTATCATCTTCACCATCAATACTTAAACTTCTTTTACGTGAATTATTAGTTCTTCTTTTATATTTTTTCAAAAATTTGGCTTGTTTAAGACCTAATAAAAGAGCTTCTTTGATTTCATTTAGGCCAGTCAAACGTAAATCCAATCTTGAAGTTTTCAATAATCGAGCAGCTATATCAATTTTTAGTTGAGAACCTATAAGAATTTGTTGTTCATCAGATACCTCACGATACCGAATGTCAGTAACTTCGTCGTCATCTTCATCAGATGATAACATTTGATGATAATTTCTGTCATAATCTCTTATAGATCCAGCAATGGAAGAAGGTAAAGTGAGTATCATAGAGGTAACCATATGTACAATATTTGGAATTAATTTTTTATCTTGGCGTATTAGCCATTCTTCAGGAATATTACGAATATGATTTTGAACACATTGAGCGATCTTAAATACAAACTGTCTGAAATCCACATTGTTAGGGACGTAAGGACCAATCTAAATAGAATAAGTAAATGAAGTAATTAATATGATTAAATAGATTATTTATTCTCTTTGAAAAGAGGAACAATCCCAAAAAAACAAAAACAAAAACCTTGTGGACTATTCGGATTATTCCATGGAGATCTTTGAGATCGAGGTTATTGTAGTAGGAAAAGGAATTTCGTTGGGGATTTGCTTCATCGAAGTGACCAAGAGACCGTAGTATGACATCTAACCCACCGTGGCTGACGAAGGAATGTATGGCTTCGTATTGGTATTGTGATATTCGTTGATCCAACTTTTTAATATATATTTTGATATAGAAGCAATTCCATTAAAACTTTATCAGCACAAGTTATGAAAGATAAACCGCCTTTGCATTTTATAAAATCTTCATTTTTTGTCTTGAACCTGTTCCATTGCAATCACATCACTAGTACCGTCATCATATTCCACTATCTACATAACATTAATATAATATACGAGTAAGTATTAATTTTGATGATAATATTAATATCAATAATATGAATAATTAATTTACAAACCTCTTCATTTTCGCCAACAATTCCCATCATCACAGTGTTGACACCGACATCTAACCGCCGAGAATCGAATCTACTATCAAATCGACGATAAAATGGGGCATTTTCATCTCCTAGTATTCGATATATAGCATCTTGCATGATTTCTGACAAAGGAAATTCTTCGTGGTTAACGTTCATTTCTTCTGGTTTCCTAATGAGGTGAATGGCGATATCCAGGACTTTTATTAAAAACATAGAGATTATGTTAGCAATTGAATTTCCTTGTGTAGTGGTTATTGTGGAATAACTATAGTTATAGTTGTCATGATTAAGTATATTGTTTGATTGTTTGACAGATTAATGAACGAATGAATGAGAAAAAAATTTTAAAAAAATTAATAATAACAATTAATAAAAATAAAAATATTTCATTATATTTCTACATGATAGATAATCTATCAAGTACCTTCTATTTAAAAGTACCAATGCATATTTTGGAAACCATTCTCTGTATAAAGCATCAATTAGATGTTGATTAACTTCAGAGTCTTTATGACCCATTAAAATAATATCGATAGTTTTGGTCAAAGTTTCAACTGTTCTTGATGGATTTGGTACTAATTATAAAAAGTTATATAATTAATTAATCAATCATTAATAAATAATGATAAATAGAGAATATCCTCGCATAAATAATGAACAATTCATTATTTTTAAATTTACAAAACCTTCTTTGATATCAACTAAATATTTTTCAAAATCTAATGTTGAATTGTTATCTTTGGGAAATCGTCTTGAACTATTCTTCTTGTGGTTATTGGATAATGATAAGTTATTACATGGTTGTTGACCAGGTTCGCTATCATCATCAATTTCATCAGACCCATTATCATCATCATCTGATGAAGACATAGTTTGTCGGTTTTTATCATCATTATTACTTCGACTACGATTGGAAGAAGGTTGTTGATGTTGTTGCTGTCTTGATTTTTCAGAAGTCAATGCAATTCGTTTCTTAGGATGTTCGTAATCACCATCACCATCACCATCGGTATTTTCTTCATCTCTCTCCTCGTCCTCGTCGTCCTCTTCCTCTTCTTCCTCCTCCTCCTCTTCTTCTTCTTCGTCGTCGTCATCATAATCATCAACTTCTTCCTCATCTTCTTCTTCGCTACCACTCAAATTTTTGATGTTAACTGGGTGTAAAAGTGATGGATCTTCAGCCATTGTTATTGTTATTATTTTGTTGATTATTAAATATCAGTTTGTATAATTCAATCAACTGATAAGATCAAATAATTTAATTTCACACAAATATTCGAAATTATAATATAATAATGTATGTATGATATTTAATTGAATAGAGTTCGTTAAAATAAGAGATTTCGTCAATTGTAAAATTATTATATAAATATATAAAGAAGAAGAAGGGATATCTTTTACTAACAAATTCAAAAGAAACAACCTTTTATTTTCATTCACCATCATCGTGTAACACGAGCTGATCAATTCGAATTAATGACGTAACAAATATTTTTTTTATAAGAATTATTTCAATAGATATGGCTTTAATTCATCTATTATATGTAAATATTCAACTTCGATGAACATTAATTTTATTTTTGATTTATGCAATAATATATAATGTCAATAAGTCATATATATAGATAGTCAACTCTAAATTGGCATCAAAATCACTTGATGAAAATCATAATAATGATAAATAAAATATATGGGACATATTGCAACAAAACCAGACAAAGTGAATATTAGGTCATAGGGGAATTATTGAAATAATAATACATTTTATCTTTATTATTATCATTATAGTAGGAATACAATCAGGGTTACTCCCAATTTAGAATTTTTAAATAGTGACTAAATTCTTAATCTTTTAGTCAGGCTTTTTAGTGGAAATAATACAGGTTGGTCGGGTATGCACCTATTCTAGGATAGAGTGATTTTTCTACTTGGCAGTGGTTGTAATTGATTACGTATATTTGTATCTTTTTTACAATATCATATTAATAGAGTTTCAACTTTAAAACTTTAATCCAATATATATGTAAGAGTTTCTCTATTAAATCATTCAAATATACATTTAGAAGTTTAATTCACTTCTCACTATTATTTTCCTATGTATTTTTCCAGAGAAAATAACTTAATTTATTTATTGATCTTTTGTATAGTATTTATATAAAATTACAATTATTAACAACAATAATAAAATACATAAATATAGAACATATGTTTCCCCAGGGTCCTTAGAATAACTTAAAAGGAAATATAATTAATAAAAGTTAATGTTCTCTGTCATCATTTAATGTCCACTAATTAATGTCAATACTAATATTAATGCTAAATGTGTAGCTCGAAATAAACAATTACTTTATGTTTGTGCAACAAATATCTTAACACATTCCAAGTCACAACAAATAAATAAATGAAATAAAAATAATAAATAAATAAAAATGAAAAATGTGTACTATTTAGTGGTACCGTTACAATCAATATATTGCAAGTGTGCAATCTGAGTTTCCTAATTAATGGGTTATTTATAGTTCAACACACAGCCTTACAGTTGATTCTATGGTTTGACACACAGCCTACCTGCTGACTTACAGTCAAGTTTCCTTTATTTATAAATATGACACACAGCCTACCTGCTGACTTATGGTCAAAGATTAATAAAAATAACTTTTATCCTCCTGGATAAAAGGGTTCCTAGGTTCTATATATAATTATATCCCAAAGGTGTCCCCTTGAGATGGTCTCAATAGTTAAAATGTTGGCTACTTGTTAGGTGCAGCAAAGGTTTTCCCTTTGTAGTTTATTAATTAGTTAGAGGTTATTATTTTGAAGGTAAAATATGTTAGGTGTTTTATTAGCAATAATATTATTATTACAAATGTGTTTTGGAAGTATTAATTATTGGATCAATAATTAAAAGATTGTTATGAACATGATGATTCTGACTTGGTCTAAAATCAAGTCTTATTATACCTCTTGGGGTATTACAAATAACATGACTTTTACTCTATTTTATCCAATAAAATATGCTTATTAATGTAAAATAAATATTTGGGTCAACTGAGCATTACAAAATAATAATTAATAATTTAAAGTAAATATTTGCATCAGCTCAATGGTTCTTGAAATATAAATATAGAAATATGAATATGAATAATTGTATGTGTGATACTGCGCAATGTTTGGCGCAGTAGGTTCACAAAATATAATATTAAAAATAGAAATGATATCATTGTCACGTGACTTCCACCGTAATTTGGTTTGGTTGGATCGGAAACGTGGGGACCTCTCTATCGGTCCTTATTTTACTATCTCACAATATATAAAATTCTTTAACTGGTGAAAAAGATTGCATTCATTTTGGAGTAGAATTTACATACCAATTCAGATATAATTGTCATTCCTATTCAAATTGCAATACTGGGATTTTGGGTCTGAGCCAGAATTCATGATTTTATATGATTTCAGATTGAGTATTGATGACCCTTAATCTAATCATTCATATACAACAGAGATTATTCCAATGTTAATTATATGAAAACAGCAACAACAGAAAAAAGAATTGGTCTGATTAATGCTTTGATAATAATTTTATTATTTGATGATGAAGCTGAAAGCAAGAAAAATTCCCAACCATAGGAATAAACAAATACTATAGTAATCTTACTATTATCCACATTACAATAAAGATTATTGTGATAAAAAAAAGAAATTATTTTATCTTTTTGTATGTAATTTGTGGTTATGCTTGCACTTTAATATTATGCTCAAAACATGCTTCTGAAAAATCTTTAATTGTCATGTACCAGTCAAAATGATTCTCCAATTTAGGTGCATTTTCAATTTTTTCAGATAAATTGCAAGATTCCCTTGAGTCTTTTTTGGTAAATTTGATAGTAACCTTGATATCTCTTGATGATGCAATATTTTGAGCAGTTGCCTCAAATACAAGATGATGACTTGGCAGTTCTTGGTTATATGTTAGTTCAAAAGTTTCACCTTTAATGGTTATGAAGTTGATATATGGAAAATGAAGTTGTGATGAGCTTGTTGCAGTAATCTTAGGTATCTTATGCTGAAAATCTTCATACCATTTTTTTAGATTGGCAAGTTTATTCTTTAATGCACAAAGCACACATGCAGTTTGATGCATTAATCCATATTCTTCATTGTAAGATGTACTACTTTGTGGAATAACAAACAATGGCATCGTTGGAGTAAGAGGTTCACAAACTGCTTTCTTTGTGTAGGCAGCACCAGAAACTCCTAACTAAGGTCCTGCAATTTGCAAGAGAAATACAGGAAATCGTGATTTTTTAATAATGTCTTTTTTTGGAACTTCTTTATGAATTCAGTATAATAAGCTGTTCCTTGGATGTATGGACATCCATTTCCAATACCTATTTCATGCTTCACTTCCATGTTAAGAAGTAAAGTTTCAAAGTCATCATTTATGAACATGATACTACCATCAGTTGATCCATCATTAACAAATTTGTATTCAACAAAAGTACTTTCCAAGTATTTCCTTTGTCTTTCCTCTTGAAATGGACGTGACATCTGGCAACTAAAATCATAAATAAATTTTGTATCAACATCATCAAGTTCGACTTTTCCAAAGGCTTCTTTCTGAAAATTATGAAATATTGGGTGACATAGACCAAGAGGCAAACAGCAGCAGTGTGTGGTCGGAGATTTAAAATAACAGCATCATTCTTAGTTTGATAATTTGCCCATATGTTGATTTGTGATATTTTTGAAGGACTTGGCAATGTCTTTAGGCATTTTATATATTGAGGGTGGGAAATATCTTCATCTGCTTTATGTTTTAAATTGTCTCCTATAAGTAAAAATGTTGAGATGAATGTATAAAGAAGCAATCATAAGAATGCAACAAAGAAAAAAGTATAAATCATTCATTGAAAATATTTGACATTTTACTTAACACTTTCTTTATGAGGCCAAGTTAAAAGAATATAAGACAAAAGGAAAAATATTAATTGTTGAAAATAAAAATGGATTGGTCATTTAACATTAAAAAAACACACCAAAGATGAATAAATAGATAATATGAAATTATGTATATTACCACATCAATATTTGTTATGTTGTGAGATCTTTACCTAAACTGCTTTTCTAATTCACTTATTCTTTTCTTTAGTTTGAGAATTTCCAAATTCATTACCATCAATTCGTTATCCTATATATTAAAAAATTGTTATGAGAAGAAAAAAACAATAGTTTTTGTCATTTGAAGAGAAATAACTGTTTATTTATTACTTTATCATCATTGTTTTTTCTTTTTGTAGCAGTAGATACTCTAATAAAAATACAAAGTTTTTTGTAACTAGAATGACAACACATTGCAATGATCACAACAACCACCACCATTCTTTTAAATAAATAATGACTTACCTTTTTGCAACAAGCTCTTCTTTTTGTTTTCTTTGTTTGTCATTCTTCTTGTTACACATTTTTTAAAATTTAAAAATTTAAAAATCATTTATTTGATCAACATGGGTCTGGGACACTTTACTGACACCCACTTTACCAACAGGACACTTTACCAACAATCTAAGTAAAGTCAAACTTGATATAGAAATGGTCTTGCGAGGAACACCATGACTCCCACAGAAACCACAAGATTGTAATCATGAAATACGGATTCAAACAGTATTAAATGATCATAACATTAGATCAACTATAAAGTTTCTTTGGTGCATTGCCCATAATATTTCATTTTAAATTTTTTTTTTGTTATTTTTTTAAAAAAATTTTTTTTGTGTATATATAAAAATAATAATAATTAATGGGTGCCTTCAAAAATTATTATATTGAGATTGAGATTGAATATTTGATTGGATTGAGATTGGATTGAAATTGAAATTTTCAATCCATGATCAAAAATTATTTTATCAAGATGATCGACAATTATTAAAAATGGAATTTTTCTCTTTTATTAATCATCAAAGAAATGAATTGGACCTTGAACCTACAAATACCAATGCTAATGATTTTAGTATTGATGTCTTTGTCTTTTGGGTACTTCAATATTTTCCACTTTTTTTTTAAAAAAAAATTTATTTTTTTTTTATTATTTTGTTTGTTTATTTTTTCAATCTTATTACCTGACCTAGATTGAAATTTCATATTAAAATTCGATCTCAATCTCAATCTCAGATCGAAATCAATCTCAATCTCAATCTCAATCTAATAATTTTTGAAGGCGCCCAATATTTTCCTTTTTTTTAAAAAAAAAATTTTTATTTTTATTTTTATTTTATTTATTTTGTTTGTTCATTTTTTCAATCTTACTACCTGACCTAGATTGAAATTTCATATTAAAATGCAATCTCAATCTCAATCTCAGACCGAAATCAATCTCAATATGGAAATTTTTGAACACAGATCGAAATCAATCTCAATCTCAATCTCAATCTAATAATTTTTGAAGGCGCTCATTAATATTAATATTAACACGGGCAAATTTTCTTTTTTTTATTCACGCGTTAATATTTTTTTTCAAAATGGACTTATTATTATGATGTCACAAGAATGATAAGCATAATTCCCGATAAATTTTTTGACCATCAATACAAAAAATGACTAATGGCTTAAAACAAGTTCTGAATAAAAATTATTTCAAGTTATTATTTCCTATTTTTAAATTAAACCATTATAATAAAATTCAAAGCAACAATATGAATAACGAAACTTTTTCAAGAGATGATATCGTTATTGTTAATGTAAATCCAATGAAAAGTTATGATAACAATAATGTTGACAACAACAACGACAAAAACAATAACACAACATTAACAACAAAAACTAAAAAATCAACGGAAGCAAAAGAAATAACACCAGAAACTATTGCAGCAGCAATGACAAAAATGAATCTTGCAAATAATCAAAAAAAAAATCAAGAAAAAGCATCACCACCAATTGAAAAATATCGTCGATTAAATAAATTGTCTGTAACAGACATGTCAGAATTATCATGGTGCGAACAAAAATTTCATTATTCTTTAATTTACGGTAAAGTTAGAACAAATGTGATGAAAATTGGCACAACAATCCATTCAAAGCTAGAGTTAGAAGATCATAAATTAATTGAAGTCAAAAGGATATGTGTGGAGGATGATTGGGGTGTAAAGTAATTAATCGAATAATATTAATTCTTCATTAAATAATAAGTTAATTTATGATTATCTTTTTTTCATGTTATTATTGTTATTATAGGTTGACAAATCTATTAATAGCTTTAACATCATTAACAAAGACCAAAAAATCACGTGAAATTCCAATCTTTGGATTTCTATTTGATTCTTTTATCATCGGTGTTATAGATGAGATAAAACACGTTAGTAGGCTAGGAGATAATATTATGAACAATGATATGTTTAGCAAAGAAACATTTGAGCAGGATAAATGGATTATTTCAGACACTAAAACTAAATCAAGAATCATCAAGCCAAGTAAATCCACAATTTTGATGTCAACAAAAGTCCAATTAATGCTATATAAAAAATTATTTGATGAATTGATAAAAAACCAAATGGATTTTAAAAAAATGTTTGAACATTTAAATTTAAATCCTGATCGACCATTTTCTTCAGATTTACAAGAATTACTAAGTTCATTTGATTTTAAACAATATTTCGAGAAATTCAAAGAAAGAAAGTTGGAATATAGTTTAAGTCTTTTGGCAGAATTGATAAATGAATATGTAAAGTCGATCGGGACAAGTAGTAATCTTTTAGAAGTTAATTATAGATATCAAGGTGATGGTAAAGACTTGGGCAGTGTATTATTTGAATTTGAGGAAGAAAATTTGGAAAAAAAATTAAAAAGAGGAATTTTGTATTGGAAAGGTATTGTAAAGCCCCAAGGTGTTGAAATCGAAGAGGCTTGGAAATGTAGGCAAGTATATAATTGGCATATTTGATTCCTTTTCTGACTTGTACATAAAAAAAAAGATTATATGTCTAATTGTATGTCTTGTGTATGAACTTAGATATTGTGAATATGCTGATAATTGTGAATGGAGATTAGATAAAATAAAGGAAATACTCAATAAATCATAATAAATCATATAATATTGTTAGAATATTGTAAATATGTAATGCGAGGACTGTTTATTTATGATTTTTTTTTAAATAATATATTTATTTAAATGCACAAAAAGAAAAAAAGAAAGCTTGTAACCAAAACAAATAATCACTCTTTGTTTTGATTACCCAGTTACTGTACTCCTACTTAGTTCAAGCAATGCATTTTTCATACTTGCTAAATGTAATTCAAATGGAATATCTACAAGAAGTGGTTTGTTGGTTCCACTTCTCAAAATATTTAGATGTGCTTCAAATAAATTTAATTGATCTCTAATTTCCGTAATTGATTCAACTATCAATCCTTTGTTATTATCAAATTTTTCAAGAAGTTTCAAGTTTTTGTCAAAAATCATTGTATCAACTTGATAACCAAAAAATCTCCATGCGTCAGAAAACACCTTATCCGACTTATCGTCCTCATTTGCGCCTTTTTCTTTTTCAACAGTAGAAGCAATATTTGATTGAATAGCTTGCAAACTTAATACTCTATTGAAAGCATAATAATCATTATTATTAACGATATAACGAATGAAATAAATAGATGAATATAAAAGGCTATATGAAAAGCTATATATATACATTACCCAGATGAAACATCATTAGTTAATATAATCAATTTTCTAAGATTGTCATCAGTATTATGTATAAGTTGATAAAAAATTTTATCTATATCCTTTAGATGGCGTGGTGTTAATATTTTCCCCCTCATATCTTCTAATTTTGATAATGTATACTTTATATAAAGTATTGCACTTGATAAAGAGGCTTGTGTTTGAGCTTGCAGCTTTTGTAAATTCTTATTTATTGTATAACTCCAATCAACAAAATCTTTTAAATGACCTGCTAATATCGGCGCAGAATTCAATTTTGAATATTCTACAACCGTTAAAAGATCTCTGCCTGCCAATTCTACTTCTTTTATTTGATTTATTAGAGGTCCATTAGAGGATGAACCGAATCTTGAGTTATGTTTGATCAATTCATTTTGAGTTTCAACTTGTAAATCAACAAGTTTTTTAAAATCAGGAAGGGAAGTCATACAAATTCCAGGAAAATATGTTTCTGATCCAGGAATTATTTCACAAAAATAGTCGACAGCTAAAGGAGAAATATGATTATGTAAAGCATAAGCAACATAATATGAAGCAAAAATAATAAATAATGATGATAATAATTGTTTTGGAGTTAATGTTTTCGTGTACTCGAAAACGGTTTGTGAACTGTAATTAATTTGATGGTGAACTTGGTGGACGATTCTATCGGAAATTTTTTGTGATTGATTTACTTTTACTCTTAGAAGTTGATCGACTTCCAAAGTATAAAAGGCTCGACTGTATTGAATCACATACACATATTTTTGCATGATTGGTAAAAAAGATAGTCCATAAATCTTTGGAAATGAGATATCTTGGAAACAGCGATTGTAAATTATTTTTACCTATTATATAACATTAAATAAGTTTGATTAGTTGTCACAAATAGTAAATCATAGATGGTAAAAAATTTACTTACATTTTTAATCAAATTTGGTAAATTTGTTTCATCAATTATAAATAAAGTAACACTGATAGGACCTGACCGATCTTTTGTGATTGTATCATTTTGGTAATTTAAAACCTTTTCTCCATCCAACCATGTAGCTACAAATAAATTACGAGAATCTCCCTCATTCACATTTTTAACATCTTCAAAACGCTCATGTGGAATCCATTCCCAATAATCTTTATAGCTGTTGGTCCTTTTCGCATTGTTTTTAATAAAATCATCAATGATAACGTTTCCGCTTGAAGCAAGTTTCTCGGCATCACAATTATTACACCAATTAACACTCGTGTTTAGATTTTTACATTCGACACAAATTTCGTTATTTTCAGCAAGGTTTTCAATACCTTGTGGGATAATGGGGTATTGATTAGTAAATCCCGAGGTCTGTATGTTATCGTGAAAATAATGCATTTTTATTTTAATAGATTATGGGATCACGTGTCATTTTATATCATTACTTGATAGAAGAACAGGAGAGAACGTCCTATATAAGGAATGGATTTTCACAATTGATTTCAATTTTTTTTATACAGTTTAAAATAC